AGGGTGGAGGGAGACGGCTGAGAAAGGCAGGAGAGGAGCAGCAGTGTACAGTGACTGGCTGTCAGTATATGTCAGTGCTGGTTTTTAAATGTAATTACAGGCTTTTTTTCCCCCTTCACTATAGGTCGCAGAATTAGCTGTCACTTTAACCCCAGCTAAAAGAAACAAAAAAAAAAAAAAAAAAAAAAAAAAAAAAAAAAAAAAAAAAAAAAAACACAAAGTTTCCTTTTAGTTTCTTTCCCCAGTTAAAAAGAAACAAAGTTTCCTTTTGCTCTAGGGAAAGTGACAGCTAATTCTGTGAGCTATAGTGAAGAGAAAAAACAAAACAAAAAAAAAAAAAAAAAAAAAAAAAACAAACTGGCAATTGCATTTAAAAATCGGAACTGACATAGTGACAGCCAGCGAGGGAGCCTCTCTGTATACACTGCTGCCTCTCTGTATACACTGCTCCTCTCCCCCCCTCTTTGTACACACTGCCTGCCACCCCCTCCAAAGAGGACCTGTCACTCATACGTTATCACATAGGGGACTATTGGTCCCCTATGCGATAGATTAAAAAAAAAAAAAAAAAAATTTTTTTTATAAACTAATTTTATTGCTATCTATATATCTCTATAGAGATCTATAGATCTCTATAGAGATCTATATCTATATAGATATCTCTAGATATATAGATATCTATACTATCAATTTAATATAATTACTAATAATAAAGAAAAAAATTTTATACATGAAAGTAGAAAAAAAAAAAAAAAAAAAATTAAGAGCCTCCCCACTCCCACGACACTTCGATTCTCGGTCACATGCATTCTGAATTTTCGGTATCTGCACCAGAATTTTAATTTTTTTGCACCACTACAAATTAACATTATCGTTAATATACAATCACTAATGCATTTCCCAAATATACACAATCTTTTTAATGAAAATGAGTACAGACTACCTATGCACTAAAGAGAAAGATTAAAAACAAGAGATCACCTTACCAAGTACTTGACACCACACACACGGTGTCCAGGTATTCCAAACACTATAAAACACCCGACCTGTGTCCAGATATTGCAACCCCTCAACATGCAGTGCCCAGATAGCACCAACCCTGCACACCACACTTCTTGTATCAAGATCTCCCTATCACCCAACCTACAGGCTATCAGCAAGGGGGCAGGTCTGTGTTTAAAAGGCAAATTCAAACAAACAGTTTGGGGTTCTAGCAGAAAAATAAAAAAAAACACATCTGAGTATTTGGAAACACAAATCAACAGGAGTCAGATTGCTTGATTCATAAAGTACCAAAAAGTACTTGGTAAGGCCTCATACAGACCAACAAACCAGACTGATAGTACCGCTGCTGGCACTTGTAAACAGTGCTGATGCACCAATCCCAGCACATCACACCTGTTTATTATTTATTTTCAGGTACTTATATAGCGCTGTCAATTTACACAGCGCTTTACATATATATTGTACATTCACATCAGTCCCTAACCCTCAAGGGGGAGTACAATCTAAGGTCCCTAACCCTCAAGGGGAGTACAATCTAAGGTCCCTAACCCTCAAGGGGTGTACAATCTAAGGTCCCTAACCCTCAAGGGGCGTACAATCTAAGGTCCCTAACCCTCAAGGGGAGTACAATCTAAGGTCCCTAACCCTCAAGGGGTGTACAATCTAAGGTCCCTAACCCTCAAGGGGTGTACAATCTAAGGTCCCTAACCCTCAAGGGGAGTACAATCTAAGGTCCCTAACCCTCAAGGGGAGTACAATCTAAGGTCCCTAACCCTCAAGGGGAGTACAATCTAAGGTCCCTAACTCACATTCATACATACACATACTAGGGACAATTTAGACAGGAGCCATTTCACCTACCAGCATGTCTTTGGAGTGTGGGAGGAAACCGGAGTACCCGGAGGAAACCCACGCAGGCACAGGGAGAACATGCAAACTCCCGGCAGGAGGTGCCGTGGCTGGGATTCGAACAGACGACCCGAGTACTGCCAGGCAGAAGTGCTAACCATTTGGCCACTGTTTACATTTTTATTTCGTAGTTAAACTTTATTGAAACTGTCAATCTACATTTTTAGGTTCTATTCACACAGCAGCATTGAGAGGCGGCAGAAACTGATGTGCTAAGGAAGGCTTCCCCCCCCCCCCTTGTTTTGCGTTTGGACTGCGATGGGCAAGGCTGTCCAATGTACCTGGTGTGATCGAGCCCTAAACGATGGCTTTTTAAAGGGCTCTAGAATTCAAGATTGAGAAACAGATACACCGCCGGTAGACACTGCATTACCATGCTTAATCTAACGTTTGGAAACTGCACCACTCCCAGAGCATCCCCACAGTATCAAATGTCCTAAAACCAATACTCTGCCCCGTGTAATTGGATGCACATGTCTACAACCGATCACATTGGCCAGTCTGGGTTTCTAATCAGCCGGTTAATAAACAAAAATTTGTTGGAAGGGGTAGGACGTAAAAATTGTAGACCCTCAATAGTTGCTTCTTGGAACACAGAATGCTCCACCACTAGCAAGAACTGGACACGGAACACTTCATGTGAGGAAAGAAGAAAGCGTCATCCGTTATGGACGGGGCTGTTTACCCATTTTCCCTGAGCACAGCAACTGCACATCACAAGGCAGCTGGAAGAGATTTCCCCTCCTCCTCCTTGCTAAGCTGGGTAGGGGAGACGAGAATACAGAGGACTGCAATGGCTGCCCTATCCTTCTGCTTATTGCCTGGTTGTCATAGCCCTACCTCTGGCTTCAATATGTCTTGTATCGTTGCCGGAGCCACTATCCAGCACAGTGGCTAAATGGTTAGAACTTCCGCCTGGCAGTACTCGGGTCGTTTGTTCGAATCCCAGCCACAGCACCACCTGCCTGGAGTTTGCATGTTCTCCCTGTGCCTGCATGGGTTTCCTCCGGGTACTCCAGTTTCCTCCCACACTCCAAAGACATGCTGGTAGGTGAATTGGATCCTGTCTAAATTGGCCCGTGTATGTATAAATGTGAGTTAGGGACCTTAGATTGTACACCCCTTGAGGGTTAGGGACTGATGTGAATGTACAATATATATGTAAAGTGCTGCGTAAATTGATGGCGATATATAAGTACCTGAAATAATAACAACACCCTTCAGGCCAGTATTTAGTCCATAGTCAGCTGGGCAAGTAGTATTTTCAGAAGCAACAAACTGCTAGATATGCACAATGTAACACCAGGCATTCAGTGCTCAACGCAACGACTCTTGTAACTGAGGAAAGCCAAAGAGTCCATTGATTATGGCAAGCTGAAGCAAAAAAGATCCTGCTTCTCCTAGGAAAATCTGGGACCAATCCAATCCATACACATGTAAAAAAGCAGAGTAGGAAGGGTGCAAGGATCAGTGAGTACTGCTTTATTACTGCGACGCATAGCACACCTACATCAAAAAGTTGTCTGTAATAGGCCAATGGAGCAGAGGGAATGTATATTATATATGTCCCATAATATGTAAGCTCGAAAGAGCAGGGCCCTCGATCCCCTCATGTTTTGCATTGTATTGGTATTGTTCTGTCACTTGTTCTGTCCCCCTTTGTAATGTACAGCGCTGAGCGAACTATTGGCGCTTTATAAATACTGTATAATAATATATATATTATAGGGCGCACTTGTTAGAGCCCAACCTCTGTAGCTGTAGGATAAAATGGTGTCAGATGGATATCAGGGATGGATGGATGGATGGGAGCAGTAACACTGAGGCAGCTCTTAAAGTGGAAGGCTCTAATGCAGTAACATGAAAAAGAGGAAGGCGCCTCTAAGTGAAGTATTGACAATTTATTTAGTAAACAATGGATAAATTGCACTTACGAGATAAATCGTTAAAAAGACTAATGTGGTGTAATAAGATCCAGATGGAACATCCAGCCGTCCAGCAGCAAACTGTCTATAGGATCAGGAAGTAGAGCCCAGGATGTGCCTCAGAGGTCTGACGGAGCCTACTGAGCACGCTCCGAAATGCATTACCACCTCCTACATCCGACTCTGCTCTCCAAGCCTCATTTTTGATACACAGGCACATCCTGGGCTCTTCTTCCTGATCCTATAGACAGTTTGCTGCTGGATGGCTGGATGTTCCATCTGGATCTTATTACACTGCATGATGATTCTTTAACTATTTGATGATTCTTTTTAACTATTTGATGATTCTTTTTAACTATTTGATGATTCTTTTTAACTATTTGATGATTCTTTTTAACTATTTGATGATTCTTTTTAACTATTTGATGATTCTTTTTAACTATTTGATGATTCTTTTTAACTATTTGATGATTCTTTTTAACTATTTATCTTGTACGTGCAATTTACCCATTGTTTAATAAATTGTCAATACTGCACTTAAGAGGCACTTTCCTCTTTTTCAATGGAGCAGAGGGAACCTATGCAACACACGGGGCTGATATCAGTAAGTCCCCATAGTGTGAAGCCATTCCCAACAAACAGATGAAACTGGTGGCATTTACGGCCAAACTGCAAGGGCCTTGTAACACAGGCATCAATGGAAGCTGGAAGGCAGCAAACGTGTTTCAGGGGCTCCATCCCCTTTTCAAGCTTGACAAAAAAGGGGACGAGGGCCCTGAAACAGGTTGCCCACCCACTTCCACTGATGCCTGTGTTGTGAGGTGCATGAAAGGTGGCCGTAAATGCCACCAGTTTCATCGGTTCGGCAGGTCCGGCTCAATACCACGGAGGTTTACTGATCTCAGCCCTGATGTCACTTTGTAACTGGCCAAAAAGTACAGGGAGGGAAAACACTTGAACGCAGACAAGTGCAAGTGTGCCATGCTTTGTAATAAAGTGCTCTTTTGATCCTTGCACCCATACTACATTCAGAAGAATAAGTAATTGTATGAATAAGAATTGTAATTGCACAAATAAAAGTAAAACCAAAAAATCCTACATGACTGACAAGTAATATTGAGTGTGTGAACCCCAATGCCTGCCATACTGTACACAGCTCACCTTCGTCTCCCCGCTGCTGTCAGACTCAGACACCTGGTAGGTGAGGTCAGTCTCCTCAAAGCCTGTAGCACTCATTCGCTGGTCGGTGGAGGGGTCGGAGCGTGGAGGAGAGTCCGGAGAGTTTAAACAAGTCTGTATTAAAGCCTTCCCGGTCTCACTTGTTATCATTGGCTGAAGTTTCCTGGTGGCGAAGGTATACACGTGTCCAGTCTCACTGGCGACCAGCAGCAGGACCTGCGTCCCAGTCAGTGTAGACAGCTCGTAAGCCTAGAAGGAAGAAGACCAACAAAATTCAGACTTTATAAAAGACAGAAGGGCATGAAAAGTTACTGAATACAGGAACCCACAATCACTCACAGAACATGACCTGTAATTATTATTATTATACAGTATTTATAAAGCGCCGATAGTTCGCTCAGCGCTGTACATTACAGAGGGGGACAGAACATGTGACAGAACAATACCAATACAATGCAAAACATGAGGGGATCGAGGGCCCTGCTCTTTCGAGCTTACAATCTAGGAGGGAGGGGATGGTGGCACAGGAGGAGATAGCTGTGGGGGATGGAGTGGTAGGAAGAGTGGAGGAGGTCAGCAAGTTAGCAGGGGGTGGGGTAGGCTTCCCTGAAGAGATGGGTTTTCAGGGTGCGCCTAAAGGAGAGGAGAGTAGGTGATAATCTGATGGGTTGGGGAAGGGAGTTCCAGAGGATGGGTGACACCCTGGAGAAGTCCTGGAGGCGGGCATGGGAGGAGGAGACCAGGGAACTAGAGAGAAGGAGGTCTTGTGATTAAAGTTTGCCTTTATCCCAATGCAGAACACAGTCATCAAACACTGAGGTATAACAGCTGATATGGAGATGGTCAGCGGCAGACAGAATCAGCAAAGCTTAACCCACATCAACTAATCAGGGTGCTTTATAAAAGCAGAAACATGATCAGATGTGATTGGTTAGCACCCTCTGATCTGTATATAGTGTTAAAAGGGTTAGTTTACCTTAACCCTAGGTTCACACTTATGCGGCCACGTTTTGCTCAGGCACAAGAGTCCATTCATTGGACTCCCATGCCCGTGACATGCAGGGAAAGAAGTCCCTGCACTACTATGGAAAATGCATCAGAGGTTCTCAGTACGGTTGCATTTCCCAGTGTGGTTGGCATGCCATTAGAATAGCACCCGCCCACGGGTCAGCAATTCTGTGCAGGTGGTGCGGCTGCATGGATTTTCATATGGATGCGCAGCGGCACCACCCGCACAGATGTGAAAAGGGGGTTACAGAAAAATGTAAAAATGTGAAAACCAGGCATGTAAAAAAAGTCACACAAAAATTATTTAATCATTCAAGGAATGGACGTACGTCATTTGCAAATAGTCTGCTTTTAATGTTAGATTTTAAAAATAATTGCAATTTTTGAATGAACCACATACACTGGGCAAAAACTTATTTGAGCGAAGAAGAAAGAGGAAGAAGAAGAGAAGAAAATTTTCCAGAAGAAAGAGTTGAAAGATGCACAGATTTGACAGAAGAAAGAGGAAGAAGAAGAGAAGAAAGAGGAAGAAGAAGAAAGAAAGAGGAAGAAGAAGAAAGAAAGAGGAAGAAGAAGAGAAGAAAGAGGAAGAAGAAGAGAAGAAAGAGGAAGAAGAAGAGAAGAAAGAGGAAGAAGGAAAGAGGAAGAAGAAGAAAGAAAAAGAAAGAAAAAAAAAGAAAGAAAAAAAGAAGAGAAGAAAGAGGAAGAACAAGAGGAAAGAAAAAGAAGAGAAGAAAGAGGAAGAAGAAGAGAAGAAAGAGGAAGAAGAAGAGAAGAAAGGGAAGAAGAAGAGAAGAAAGAGGAAGAAAAGAGAAGAAAGAGGAAGAAGAAGAGAAGAAAGAGGAAGAAGAAGAGAAGAAAGAGGAAGAAGAAGAGAAGAAAGAGGAAGAAGAAGAGAAGGTTAAGAGGAAGAAGAAGAGAAGAAAGAGGAAGAAGAAGAAGAAAAGAGGAAGAAGAAGAGAAGAAAGATGTTTAAGAGAAGAAAGAGGAAGAAGAAGAGAAGAAAGAGGAAGAAGAAGAGAAGAAAGAGGAAGAAGAAGAGAAGAAGAGGAAGAAGAAGAAAGAAAGAGGAAGAAGAGAAAGAAAGAGGAAGAAGAAAGAAGAAGAGAAAGAAAGAGAGAAAAGTTGGTTTAAGAAGAGAAGAAAGAGATTTGAGAAAGAGGAGAAGAAGAGAAGAAAGAGAAAGAGGAAGAAGAAGAGAAGAAAGAGAAAGAGGAAGAAGAAGAGAAGAAAGAGAAAGAGGAAGAAGAAGAGAAGAAAGAGAATACAGAGGAAGAAGAAGAACCCCTTCAAAGAGGAAGAAGAAGAGAAGAAAAAAGAGAAAGAAGAAGAAGAAGAGAAGAAAGAGAAAGAGGAAGAAGAAGAGAAGAAAGAGAAAGAGGAAGAAGAAGAGAAGAAAGAGAAAGAGGAAGAAGAAGAGAAGAAAGAGAAAGAGGAAGAAAAGAGAGAAAAGAGAAAGAGGAAGAAGAAGAGAAGAAAGAGGAGGAAGAAAAGAGAAGAAAGAGAAAGAGGAAGAAGAAGAGAAGAAAGATGAAAGAGAAGAAGAGAAGAAAGAGAAGAGGAAAAGAAAGAAGAAGAGAAGAGGAAGAGAAGAGAAGAAGAAGAAGAAGAGAAAGAGGAAGAAGGATGAAGAAGAGAAAGAGGAGAAAGAGGAAGGAAGAAGAGAAGAAGGAGAAGAAGAAGGAAGAAGGAAGAAGGAAGAAGGAAGAAGATGAAGAAGGAAGAAGGAAGGAGGAAGGAGGAGGAGGAAGAAGAATTCCAGTCCGGCAAAAAGTGTCCCTGCAGAGAGCTCCGCTATTTCTTTGACAGTGCTTTGATATTTATAGTGGTTGCAACAATGTATCTATTTGTTTCCAAATAAAACCATCTGTATCCGAACACAAATAGATACATTGTTGCAGACGCTATAAACATCAAAGAACTGTCAAAGAAATAGCGGAGCTCTCTGCAGGGACACTTTTTGCCGGCTGTAGACGGGATGAAAATCAGCCGATTTTTTTACCGTTCCTGGTAACGTCGGCTGCTTGAACGACCGATTTTTCGTGTTTTTTTTTTAAGAAAAATTGGCCAGTTTTCTCCCCATCTATGGCCTGCATAAGTTTCTTAAAATATATAAATTTTGTTTAGCCAAATTAGTTAACAAACATGGATTTTTAAGCAAATCACATATGCTGGAATGTTATGGTTTCAGTTGAATAAATCTATTTAAATTGTTATTATTAAGGTAATGATTATTTTTCTCCTTCCTAAGTACAACAGAAAAGTTGTCCAAACCATCTGTATGCAGCATCCCCCCCAACCCCCCCAATACTCACCCTGGCCCCCTCTAGATCAACTGATGTGCACTGGAGTCTCGGCTATCTCGGGACTCCCTTTCCTCATTGTATGAGACAGAAGGATCCCACTGTTGTCAATCACAGCCAGTGAGAAGAGAGCGGGTGGGGGTGAGCCGCAGCTCCGTGTGTGAATGGATACACGGAGCAGTGGGTGCCCCTATAGAAAGCTGCTGGCTGTAGGGGCATTCAACAGGAGGGAGGGGCCAGGAGTGCCAGCAGGGGACCCAAGAAAAGAATAGGAGGATCCAGGCTGCTCTGTGCAAAACCACTAAACACAGCAGATAAGTATGATGTGTAAAAAAACAAAAAAAGCCTTTAGAATAACTAATTGTAATCCTTAGTAAATAGATAGGAAGGTAGATTATTTTTACTTGTAATATTTTTTTTTAAATATTTGTACAGTTTCTAGTCTAGGCCAAAATTATGTCATACATCCCAGGAGTCTTCATGGCATTTTTCCCCCCCCCTTTCATCTGGAGAAGGGGGGGGGGGGGGGCAGAGGCAGCTTTCTCAGCTTAGCCCACACTCCTGCCTGCATGCTTGAGCTAAGGGCAGATGGATTCCAGGAAGTAAATGCTACTAGGGATGCACCGAAATTTCGGCCACCAAAACATATCGGCCGAAAATAGCTGTGTCGGCATTCTGCCGATAGTAAAAATTAAGCCGATACAGGGGACTGTGTGTACTGCAGATGTGGGGGGGGAAGAGAAGAAGAAAAACAGGAGAGGAGCAGTATATACTGCGACAGGCTGTCACTATGGGGTTTATTTACTAAAGCTGGAGAGTCCAAAATCAGACTCCCTTCTGCATAGAAACCAATCAGCTTCCAGGTTTCATTGCCAAAGCTTCATTGAACAAGCTTGAGGTTAGAAGCTGATTGGTTTCTAGGCAGAAGGGAGTCTGATTTTGGACTCTCCAGCTTTAGTAAATAAACCCCTATATGTCAGTGCCAGTTTTTAAATGTAATTTCAGGCTTTTTTTTTTTCTTCACTATAGCTCAGAGAATTAGTGGTCACTTCCCACCCAGCTAAAAGAAACAAAGTTTATTTTCGTTAAAAAAATGTTTCCTTTCATTTTTTTTTTTCCCCCAGATAACAGAAACAATGTTTCCTTCAACTCCGGGGAAAGTAACAGCTAATTCTGTGAGCTATAGTGAAGAAAAAAGAAAAAAAAAAGTTGCATTTAAAAATCGGCACTGACATAGTGACAGCCAGTGAGGGAGCCTCTCTGTATACACTGCTCCTCTCCTGTCCCCTACAAAGAGGACCTGTCACATAGCCACTTCTCAACAAAAAGCATGGAGACTTGGATGGATGAGGGAGTTTGCTTTGAATACTGAAAATGAACTAAAATCATGTTTTCAGTCTGTGGTGCTCAGATGCAGTTTAGTTGAACTTTATTAATCCTCCAAATTGAGCAAGTGAGCCCCCACTAAGTTGCTGGGCAGACCCTTGGCACGGGAACCGGCAGCAATCACCACTACGGTGTTTTCAGGTTCCACAGGGATTGTCGTCCAGGTATACATACTTCTTGTTCCAAGCAGGACCAATGTAATTATGTAAAAACTCCATCCCTAAATTTCGGCAGCAAAATTTTCAAAAAGTTACCGCATACAGCCATTATAATGAAATCACCGACGTGGAGTGTGATGAACGCACCAGAGGAGGTTTCTCAGCAACGGCACCTACAACGTTCTCAAAGTATTCAGACCCCCTTCACTTTTTTCAATGTTTTGTTGCAGCCCCGATACTACAGTTGGTACATTTATTTTCCCTCATTAATCTACACTCAGCATCCCATAATGACAAAGTGAAAACAGAATTTTAGAAGTGTTTGCAAATGTATGAAAAAGGAAAAACTGAAATGTCACATTGGCAAAAGTATTCGGATCCTTCGCAACACTTG